GAGGATTTGAAGGATCAAACAAGTTGCTCATGTCAAGGCAGCGATACTCAGCCAATCAAAAAGCCACTTAATTCTGAAAGCATTTTAAATTGAATCTCAGTAATGATTTTGAAGCTTTAGACACAATTTGTTTTTATTTTTTGCTTCATCTTATGAGTATCCACCTATCATGAATCATGTAGTGTCCGCCATCAGTCTGCATATTAGTTCAGTTCAGAATAAAATGTCTGACAGTCTTTCTTCTGTCTTGCACCAGGTATGGAGGGAGTTCCCAGACAGACTGGTGGGCTACCCAGGCCGGCTGCACCTCTGGGACCATGAAATGGGAAAGTGGAAGTATGAGTCTGAGTGGACCAATGAGGTCTCCATGGTTCTAACAGGAGCCGCTTTTTACCACAAGGTAAGCAGAGAAAGTCGGGCTGAAATGTAGTAGTTTTGTCTGCTTGAGCTCTGACTCTGTCTCCCTAATATGAGTTTGGCTAAATGATTGAGAATTTCCTTTTTGGAGGGTGTTTTGGGGTATTTCCATTGTAAGATTCTAGTGATTGACGTGCAGAGGGTCACAGGTTGAGCAGGGTTATCTTACGCTGACTTAAAAGTTTGCATACTCGTCAAAGTTTAAAGCAATGCAGAGTGCACAGCTTTCTCATAAATTCTCTTGTTTCGAACAATATCTGCTGTATTGTAATCTATTAATCTACATATCTAAGTGATCATTTATTTGTCTGTATCGTTTTTCATTCCAGTACTTCAACTATTTGTATACATACAAGATGCCAGGAGACATCAAGAACTGGGTGGACGCTCACATGAACTGTGAAGACATTGCCATGAACTTCCTGGTTGCTAACATCACAGGAAAAGCCCCCATAAAGGTGCATACAGTGCTCTGACTGCTCGAAGCTTGCAGGGGGAGGCTGAAGACTAACATAATGGTTCAGCATCTCTGGGTTTGATCAGCTCTCACCCTTTAGCTTCACTGCCTCCCCCACCCCTCCCCACCACACTGACTGTGCCCAGGTGCAGGATAAAGCCTGGCCTTAACCTCCCTTATCTGGGTGTCACTCACTGGCACTCCCCCTCTGAGTATGTTTTTCTAAGCTAACCGGGGCTCTCTCTCACTCACTCACGCACACACACACACACACACAGCCATCAAATCATAAGCACACTTCCCTGCCATTGCACCAACCTTCCACCTCCCACCATGTATTCAACTGGTTTCTTCAGAAAACACCCCCCTTCCTCCAACCCTGTCCATCTTTCTCTCTCCCTCACTTTCTTTACAAACCAAAATTCACTTTATCACACACTCACACTCACACTCACACTCACACTCACACTCACACTCACACACTCACACACACACAAAAACATACATACATAGAGTCAGAGCTCTGGGTTCAGGCATTAAAGTCAGCGTTGTAGATATGATGGAGACTAGACTGAAAAACAATCATCATCACTCGCTAAATCAATTACATTTTTTGGGACTTTTCTCACATTGTGCTTTACAAAGGTCCTTGTATAAATCACTGACTTATTATATAACACTCGACAGTTTATTAGTTTTGATTGTAAGGGTTGCTGAAGTTTAACAAACAACTTAAGGAAACTGACATTCCGGATGTGACTTTTTTCTGCCTCTGTCTAGGTGACCCCCAGGAAAAAATTCAAGTGCCCTGAGTGTACAGCCATTGATGGCCTGTCACTGGATCAGACACACATGGTGGAGAGGTATGGCACTTTGTTTTGGAATGTCTTTTTTTATGTATGTGAGCATGTGTGTATTGACAAACTGCAAGTAGAAACAGCTTTTTCTTGGTTTATGTCTGCGACCAAAGTGTTTTTCAACAGTAGCGTTACATTACATTATTAAAAAAACAAAAAAATCACTATTCCACATCAGTGAAGGTAAACAGTCTCATCATGTAAGTCCTCACACATTTAAGCATATGTTAAATGTAGAAATAAAAAATATATACATCAAAATATACACTTATATTTTGAGGAAGATGGGCATCCTCTAAAACAAATCATAAAAGAATGACAAGGTGAAGACGGTGTCCACATCTATATAGATAAATTACATTACTAATAATAAGCTGATGAACAGATTCACTATTTAACCTACCTATGAAGTAAATACATTGTGTTTTTTTCTCTCTAGGTCCGAGTGCATCAACAAGTTTGCCTCCGTTTTCGGTACCATGCCGCTGAAGGTGGTGGAACACCGTGCTGACCCAGTGCTCTATAAGGATGACTTCCCAGAGAAGCTCAAGAGCTTCCCCAACATCGGCAGCCTCTGACCAGCGGGTAACAGACTTTTGGACCGCAATACAGCCTCGACACTTTATCATTTTTTAACAACTTTATCTTTTATATCATGACATCAACATTCAGACTAAAATAGAACATGCTGTTTCTCTTCTGCTAATTTAACTTTTCTTCAGATTTAACAGGGTGGGTAAAATAATATCTTGTAAACAGAGAACACTGAAACGTGGGGATGGTGATAGGTGTGATGAGAGTGGATTGTTTATTTAGCCTATAGTAAAATATATATTTCATATCTTTATTCAAATGTATAGACTAAAGTTACATATATCTATTGGAGGGTCACCCTGAGTGATGTTTGACAGACGTGCTGACTGGAGGCTTGTGATCCCTCACTGTTACTGTTTTGGAGCTGAAACTTCAGGTTCCAGCTGCTCTGGAATCAGCTTATACAGTGTACATATTTATATATGTAGCAGTGCTGTGTAATAATCATAACTATGATGCTCCAACTAATCATTTATTTTCCTTTTCATACCATTACTTTCTGTCATGGACATTATCCTTTATCTGTAATGTTGTGTAATTTACATGATATAAAGTAAATGATCCAATGACATACCTAAGTGTGAAGGATCCATCTCATAGTTAATTGAATGTGACAGCACACAGCATGGTGGCTCACAGATGATGTACAGTCAATATTTTACATGTGTTTTCTTTTACACAATCAGATTGGGCTGTTAGACAAAGCTGGTACAACAAGTCTAATATATGTAGAGTGAGTAACTGCTGATTTTAAAATATTGATGCTGAGCTACTGGAACATCTTGAACTTTAATTTTATACTGCCTGAGTAATTCTTTCACTATATTTATATGTGATATATATCAGTCTGTATTGTGAATAATAGAGACTTCCCCAGCACACACATTTCAGAACAGATGTCTATAAACGTTTGATGCAGTGCTTTTTTTTAATTATTTTTCCATTATGGCTGTTGTGTGTTTTATATTTTTGTTCTTTTCATCACTTCTTGTCCCACATCCAATGTTTAGGCTTCAAAATGGAGAGCAGATTTCTTGTGATTTTTTTTTTTATTGTTATTATTATTCCATTGACATTTTTATTTTTATTTTTTGGGACTGAGTTTATGTATCTAAGTGTAAATATGACTTTGATAAGTAAAGACCACAGTAATGTGTCTCGGAGTGTTAATGTTCTTTTTTCCATGTATATGTAAGGGCGCGATCACACTGGCAATCTGTACCTGTGCCTAAGCACGCTTCACCCCAAAAGTGAAGTTCGTTCGACCAGTGTGAGCGCTCCGTACCTTGCACTTCCTTGTCCCTGGCACGCTTCAGAGAGGTGTACTTCGGCAGGTTACAGTTCATGCAAGAGCGCAAGCACGCGGGTAAACAACAATGAGAGCCTTCTTTATGGAGAAATCGCGGAGTGTTCTCGCTGTATCTGACTAACATGACTAAAAATAAGCCACAAAGTAGCTGTCATGTTCTCTGATGTGAGGGCGTGGACTCGACTGCGCGTCCCTTTTTTTTTTTTTTTAATTCTCAAGTCCGCTTGTTTGTAAAATGAGCACGCTTCATACTAACATGAAGCTATGCATGTGCTGTATTACGACGTTATGTACAAGAGGTAACTGTACTTAGGCCTGGGACAACTTTGCTAGTGTGAGTGCGCCCTAAGAGTGTGTGGGAAGAGGATGAATACGTTTTCTCCTCTCATCTCTGTCTTTACTCCAGGCTGTGCTCGCTCAGTGCAGAGCCTCTGTGACGCGGACAGTCCACTGTTCCCTCCAGCTTGTCACCTGTTGTTAATATACGCTGCCTAATCCACCCTGTTCTATGTCAGCAGTTCAAAAGGGTGCAGTTCGTATTTTTGTCAACTTCAATTAGTGTGATACTCTTGCGGGCTGTGCGATCTCATTTCAGCACTCGAGCCCCTTCAAAGGGAGTGAAATGCATGGGGATTTCAAAATGGGACTGTGACAATGACACAATACTTTGGCAGGGTTGTTTCATGCAATAAGACATTTCAAATGTATTGTATTTTTTAAGGGACATCAGACAGAAAAGCGCTGTCCTGTGAGTGATCCAGAAAAACTAAACAGGATACTGGTTATCAAGTGTTTTTGTGGCAACAGTATGAAGAAGAGCTGAATGACACTCACCAGTTTTTCCTCTTTTAGCATTCTCAGTCAAAAAATATTATATTTCAAAACAAATGAGATGACCAATACTGATTCCAAGTAGAATTGCAATAACTTATAGTACTTTAATCAGACACAAAAAATAACACAAGCATGAGCAAATCCATACACTTAATTTAAAAGACAGCTTAAAGCCACAAAATAGTACTTGATAAAAACTCATAGGTATTACATATCAAGAGAAAAAAACATTGTTCAAACACAAAACATTTTAAAAACCACAACAAAAAGTTGTACACCAAAAAAGCCATCTAATTAGTAACATTTCCAAAAGTCTTTTAACACTTCAATCCATTTTGCATGCCCAAAAGTGTACATGCACACAACAGTACACATATCATATATTTTCTTCTCTGTACTGATAGCCTGACTTCAGTAGTATTCGAAAATGAGAAAATGGATGATGACATCATCACTCAGGGATAGAGTTACACAGCAAACAGGAGAAAGAGGCCTTCAATTTAAACCTCATCTTGAATCAAATGTCATTGTGTGGTTGTAGGAGAAACATTCTGCTGTTCATTGTAAAGGCGTTACTGGAGATGTTTTTCCCCCAATGATAATGGCACTTAAATACACAGAGGAGTCAAATAAATTGAGATGCATTGTGTAAACCTGAGCTACTGAATGCCAGTATGTCATTGTGCACTGTGCAGAAAAATAGTCTGCATTAAAGCAAGCAGGAGACAGATGGACCTGTCTGTCCTGACACACAATACTGCAGTCCACAGCCTCCAAATGGCTCAGTGTTAATTAAAAAGCTTTCCTGGATTGGCCGTGCGGCTGTGCCTTGGACCCTGCCTGGACATAGTGGAAGTGAGCAGAGGGAGAGGATCAGTTCTGTGTGTGTGTGTGTGTGTGTCGAGAGGTGGGCCATGAGGAAGAGGAGGGGGGGGGTTGAATCTTTGAAAGCAGAGCCATGACAGCTGAGGGGGAAGCATGTGTGAGGCATGTTTGTTTTACATTTACCCCCTGAGCACAGCTGTGTGCACTGTCCTTTTCCCAGAACACCGGAACACAGCAGATGCCCTCACGGCTCGCCCTGCATCCAACCCCTTAGCTACAGCACAGGGGGCCTCAAGTCCACATTGCAATGCGACCCTCTTTAAGTTTTTAGAAATGTACTCTGCAGTCATGATCATGCACATGCCTTGGATATGTGCCGCAGAGTAGACTGGATGTAACTTAAAGGACTCTGGGGTGATCTGCTCTGCTGCAGTTATAACGTGCACCCTGCTCTCTCTACCCAAAAGGACAGTGAATGTGGATCAGTTTAGAGAATTATAAATGGTGGCCCTGCCTGAAGGTGCACTAAAAGTATCAGGTGTGCTTTGCAGAATTATGAAAGCTTTTTTTTATGCTTCAGGCCTAAATCAGGTCTTACAAAACAAAGGATGGAGATGCATAACCTCACCATTAAATCCCATCTGCTATTTCTGCAGCTGCCACTGCAAGAACACGTTTTACTATTTGAATATTTAAATGATAACATTTCATAAATATAATGATGTGTTTGGGCTCCGAGGGATGCTGATCATCCCTGGTGTGTCTTAACCAATTTTACCTCTTAAAAAGTAAATCAAGCCAAGGATGAGGTTAACAGAGGAGCCTATAACAAGAGTGGTGAAAGGGTAGGCCTACGGGATTCCTTGTTTGTTTTTTTTGTTTTTTATGTATTATCTATAAATAGGTTGGTATTGGGATGTCACTAAGGACCAGCTTCCCTAAATTTTGCCCAGAGACCCCTCAACCAGGTCAGGACACTAGAGTACTCTTGTTCCATGGTTTCCTATATGTAGCCTATACAAGGGTTTTCAAATTTTTAAAGCAACTTGAGTTTGACAAATAAAATGAATTAAGACTTTAATACTTCATTTTGCCAAATGGGGGCACCTCTAAAAGACAACAAAGTAATTTACGTACGGTAATTAGGCTACCAAGCACTTGCATTGAACTTGCTGATTTGTTATCTTAGAAGCCTGATTGGATGTGTGGTAGGACAACATACAGGCTCTACTCCAGTAGTTTATAGTTAAGGAGTCACTAAAACTTACTAAACTTGTGGTTTATACAATAATAATAATAATAATAATAATGGTGAAATACAATAAGTTAATTTAGGTGTGGACCGCATTTCTCTTCGAGAGAAGTGGATAAGAAGGGGAAACAGACAACTAAATCAAACAAAGTGTCAGCTGGTAGCATGATGGAGGATTAAGAACGATGAGAGAGGACAGAGGATGAAGAGGACCTTCAGGAAGAGCTTCATTTATATTGTAGGTAAGTGTTTTAAATTCCTTGTTGACTGTGTTACCTGTGTGCCTCAAGCTTAAGTTAGCCCCAGGTAGCAGCTATGCGCAATACTATGTTATTTAAGATGAGTCAGGTTTTTTCTTCTAAATGGATATTGTTTTGAAAGCTATAAGATAAGTGAACAACAAAGCATAATAATGATGGACCAGGTCAGTATTGCACTGAAGCAATGTATATTCAGAAACAAATATGCAAGCAAACAAATAGCCTTCTGAAAAACACTACTGACAGCAGGATTCAAAGCCCTGGGTCAGCTGCCTGCAGAGCTTGGTTGATGATTCAGATTTGCTAATAATATAACATTGTCCTGCATACAATGTCACTAAGATATGTTTGAAGATATCTGATTATATTTGGGGTGGAGGGGTTGATGTCAGTTTTGTAGTTAAATACGACTTAGAAGTGAAGGATGACATTTTGTCCAAATCCAACTGAGGTGTAGCGCAAAGCTACAGGCTGCTCTGCATTAACTTATATGATGGTGTCCTTGGTTTGGCATCTAAAGAAATAATGAGAAAAAAATATATAGATAGACATACAATAAAGCGTATACCAACACAGCATTACATAGCCATGGTAAAGTCCAGAAAAGGCTGTTGAACACTGACATCCTTTCAGTGTCAACACACTCTGTGTAATCTCCACCAGCCTCCTCTTGTTTCAAAGGTGGCCGCTGCTGATTTTGGTGTTATTTCTGGCAGAATGACTAGTAGGTACTTCTCCCTGAAACTCCTGAGACTGGAAATGGTAAGGGGCACAGTTATGTCCACTTGGACTCTGTCCTCTCTGAAACAGAGCTGGCTCTGTTTTGAGACTGGCGCTCCCAGGCTCTTAAGCCCTGAGAGCAGCAGGCCTGCTGTGCCCCTCTCGTACTCTCACACACAACTTCCTCCTCCATCCCTTCCTCTCTAGGGCCGTCAGCAGGCTGAGTCAGTGTGGCAGGTGGATTTCTCGCCCTGACCACACTAAAACAAACCACATTTCATGTGTTTGAATTGTAAATGTTGTGTGTAGAGGGTCGGACCACGTCAAACTTTTTCAGCAACTGATATGTTTGTTTTGAATCTCCAGGCTTCACAATGTGTCAGATATGCTCAATATAAAGAGGTTTCTGTAGTGCTATCATAACAGTGTAACTTAAGGTACACACTGATGCGCTGACAAAGATTCCCTAGAATAACATGTAAATGGCATTTATCAAAGACATTTGAACTTAAGATTATTTTAAGGATGCTTGCTTATTCAGAAACAAAAAGACTGATGGGGAGAAAAAAACATTGACACTCAAATTTAAATAATAAAGTAAGATAAAACAGCACCTGGACAGAGAACTACAACAACACTGAAAGCACTGTTCAAAAACTAATTTGGCAAATAAGTGCATGGATTTTTTTAATTCTTAAAAATATTCTTTGTACATTATCAGCACTACACTGCAACTCCTGTTGTACAGTACAGCATCAACTCCCAGCATGCTTTGCACAAAGCTAACTCCTCTCCTCTATGGCTGCCTTCTCCCACCAGAGGGGCTGAAAAACATGGCTGTGCCACATCACCTGCCTTACCAAATCTCATGTTGTTTTCTCCTCATCCATCCATTTATTTGCAGAACTATTTTATTGCAACATTTCTGAAGGTAGTCACTGTTGCCTTTAGAGGTTTTAAAAAAAAAATCTAGTGCCCCCATGCTGGGTTTGTGTAGACATTAAAGAGGTCAACATGATTCCCCCTCCAGCAAGTATCAACACATCATGTGGCCCAAGATATAGCTGCACTGTGCTCTTTGGCCTTCATTCGCAAAGCAGCGATACTAGAGGACTTGCGGTCAGGGTCCATGTTCAGATCGTACGCGTTGATGCTGGTCGCCATCCCGGGAGATCCTCCAAACAGGCTGCCCATGTGTGCCTGACCCATGTGACCTCCAGGGCTCTGCACACCCAAATAATCAGACACCCCGCTTGCAGAGTGGGATGAGGTGTCATACAGGGAGTCACAGTGTCACAGGACACAACACAGCCCGGCACAGGAGACGCTGCGCTGCTACCACCGATCCAAGAAGGGTTCTGAATCTGAAATATTGATAGTTTCAACATTGGTAAAAAAGCAAAATAAGTGAGGCTTTGAACGTTGTTGAGTTCATTAATCATGCAATCCATCCATCAGTAATTTATACACTACATTGGCTGCTGAGCCCATTAACCTTCACTTTTACTTTTAGATTGACTTTCTGCCTCTCATGCCATCAGGTCATATTTGATTTAAATAGTACTAATGGAACAATGATTTGCATTCTTTAATTTTGCTGGGAGGCAGGACACAAAGTATAATGTTAAAGTAGTAAAACAGCCCAAGTAGCAAATTATTGAAGAAAAAAATGCATGTGGTTTAGAGTTTATGGGCTGAAGAATGTCAAATCATTATCGAAAAACCTAAAATTGCAGAACTCGTTCTTTACCTGTGCATAATTCTCAGGCCGTGTCAGAAGAGGCAGCTCATAGGCTGTGGAGAAATGTGTCCGGACCTGCTGCATCTGACCAAATCGCTCTCTTTTCCTCCATTTTGCTCTTCGGTTCTGGAACCAAACCTGCCCAGAGAAAATGTCGGAATGTCATAAAACCAGCAGGGTAATTTTCTCTCTAAAAAAAAGGGAACTAAACTTTCAAAAAACCACCTATTCCTTGTAATGACCCAATGTAACATCAAACATCAAAAATGGAAACAGTGCAGGAGAGATGTGCTCACCTAAGCCTTTTACAGGAAGTTTCCATAAATCTGAGGGATACTTTTCCATAGATAAACATCTTAAATGGAAGCATTTTAAAGATTTCCCTTTCTGCCGATCTGAGCCAGAAGGCTCAAGGCTAATTAACAAAACTGATATCTGCAGTACATCAAAAACGTCTTTCCAAACTGACATGCTAACAGTGCACACGCACAAACACAATTGAATGGCATGGGAAGTGAACTGTTGGCTGTAACCCTCCCTTCACTGCAAAACAAAATGTAAACAGTTCCTGTGCCTCTCACCTTTGCTTATTTGTTTCTGACAGAAGCAGAGCCTTTTCTCAATCACTCACTCTTTTTCTGTAATCTTTTAGGACATCTAGATCTGACACTCTTGTTTATTGTAGGCTTCATTGTGTTTGCATTACCATCAGAGTTTGTAAAGTCATTTAAATACGTTTCTGTGCTGGACTTCAGACCTAACATGCTTTTTGTCAAACTCGATGTCCTAATTGAACAGTTTGTTTACAGCACTGGACAATCTGATGGTTTCTCTCAGTCTGGACTGATTATAGCACATATTTAGCTCTTACTCTCTCTTACTATCTGACGTAATTTCTCATATTTCGTTTATAACTAAAACAACCCGAGGAGGTAATATGTGAAATTGAAAAGTGAGATAGGATTATAAGTGAGGATTGTTTACATTTTCCTTTTTTAATTTCCTGAGGCCCGTAGCTCCTCGCTTTGAGATGCTGTCTCCCTCTAAGGTAAAGAAGCACACATAGCGAGGATGTAATTCTTCTTTCATGATACACTCATACATCTTCCACTTCACTGACTCTATAAGGGCCAAAAAAACTCCATACTAGATCACTCTTTGTCTCTAAAATAATATTTCTCCATGGTTATTAAACATACTAGTGACAAATATTAAATATCACTGTCACCAACATCTCTAATCTGCTCACTGCCTGTTCCTCTCAGAGTCTGTGGCTATTTTACAGGGAGAACATATTCTTGTGTTGCACACATGCATTGTGACAGTAATTGGTAAAGACCATGACAGCTTAAGTAGCTGGTGGACTTTCAATGAGGCTTTATTTATGTTACTGCCCCAGAGAGAAAGAGCAGAGAAATGCCAAAGCGGCCCCAGCAGGAGAGCTGTACGGGGCTGAAAACACTTTGAAGTGAGAGTCCGGCTCAGAGGATTGATAACCCGCCTCTGCTGTCACTCATGTCAGCCTCCATACAAGAGCCAAAAGAAATCCCAGGCTGAGCCTGGCTTCAGTTTTCCAACACCCTCAAAGTACCAATAATATCATGGAAACATCCTGACCAATGATGTTGCTCATTACATGTAAGTTTGTTCTATTTTACCCTCAAATCTGCTACCACACGATTTTTTTTATTTCCCAAGTCGATTTAAACTAATTCAAGGACACCATTGCAGTGATTAAAAAAAAGATACACATGGTGCAAGTTGTGTTAGATTCTCTTAACTTTGCTCACTATTCTGAAATCTCACAGATACAAAATGTATGTGCTTGTTGCTCTTTTAGATTATAAATAACATAATGATAAGATTATTTAACCAGGAAAACCTTATCAATATGAATAATCTCATTAAAAGAGTGTCCTGGCTGGCAGGCAGGCTTTCCTGGCCTAATTTTTAAATATAATTTTTTTGATCAGACAATGTTTATGATAAACTGTCAATTGATTTATTGATAAGTACAGCACAGTAAGTCAGAGAAAAAATAGAGATGTCTTGTCATTTCTTTTGTTCAATTTAGAGCTCCAAAATGTTCTACTTAGATCTTTGCATTCAAATCTGAAAACAGTGACTGTTGGCTTTGACTCAGCTGTGATAGTAACTGAAGATAAAACTCAAGGTGGATAAATCGTCTATTTTTGTCACCACGTCTGACCCTTATTTGTTATTTATATTACAGCATATTTTTTCATTTACTCTTAAAGATTGTTTTTTGACATGATCATTTCTCTCTTCTTGTTTCAGAAGAATGACGCTGTACTGTTGAAAAGTGTTTAATGCTTCTCTAAGCTCATACAGTACAGACACCTGTGATTGTCTGCTGAAGCCCACATGTCAGAGACATCCCAGCTCCCCCGAGCTCTAACAGAAGGTAAATCTGAGAAATGTGATGTTGTTGAAACCCTGACCCTTGACCTTTGACCTTCCCATGTATCTGTAGTACATATGACTTGGATCTGAACTCGCTATCTTCCTTTGAAAGACTGAGCCTGAAAAAGCAAACAACTCTAGGCCTGAAGGTTTCTTGACTAGAAGGTCCCCTTGTTTTCTTTTGTGTGAGCACCATCAGACCGTGGGGTGTCATATCACTCTATCACTATCCTCAGAGTCTTACTCTTTACTCGTTTTTTTAGCCTTTTGATAAAAAAAAAAAAAAAACCTCCTTTTTCTTCAGTTTGAACCTTTTTCGCTCCAGACTCAGAATTCATGAGCTGTGAGTCTGGTTGCGTGTGAAAGACCTGAACCGAGTACAGAACTCTGTTCTCTAACAGACGAGGCATCTTGTGTCTTTTATCTTTTTAACTTGAGTGTTTAAGAGGGCCGCTGGGAGAGCTGAGGGCTGTAAAGCTGCATCCATCTGAAGGCGGCAGGTTTGTGATAGTCTGAGCAGCAGAGCAGTGCAGAGCTGCATACTCTCTGGACTGAGTTATAACCCTGAAGCCACACACATTTCCTGTGTTTCACCGCAAAGCTTTCTGGTCAGTGCTCCAGGTCATCATGTAAAAGATTGTTATAATCCAGCTCTTATCCCAAATTTATACAGCACCATCACTCAACAAAATAAAGCATAAATATCATATTTATATCATATAAAAACGAAATACATCATAACCTTTGAGAAAAGCTCAGTGATCATATGACTTGAGATATCATATCGCTAACTTGCTCAAAGCTCCTGGGAAGAGTTTCACACCTACCCTGGACGCCACAGCAGGGACACATTCTTGTCTGAACAGGATGTTAATGAAAGAAAAACACAGAAAAGCCAGGGGCTTTGGTAGTCTCTGGTGCACACGCACACACATTCACACACAAAAACATATGTAGAGAAATTGTTGGAGGTCCTTTTCTATGTTAAACCTTTGTTGGAATACATTACAGCAGTCGCTAGCATATTATAAGTCAGAAGGTTGTCAGAAAGGTTACAGTCAAGGAGGTTTCTTTAAGCCTCGGGCGGCACTAACACCATCAGAACTGAACTCTTGAATTCAGGAAACCAAACAGCTCAGGTACAAAGAAAAAGCCCACTGACACATCTTGCAATGGAGTCAAACATGTCTCCTCGTATGTGAATGAAAGTGTGCTCTCCTACAATCTGCACATATGAGGCCCAGGCAGCTCAAAAACCTCAGCCCCATGGGCCCCCTGGCCTCTGTGAGCTCCCACTCCCCCACTCTCTCTCCTTTCGACTCTCACATCACCAGATAAATCTCTCATGTTGTTCTGTGAGTGACGCTATCTCTGCAGAGCTGCAGATGTTGAAGGATCCATGGGGTTGTGTTGTTATAACATTGTCTTCTGCTATGACAAAGCACTCTTTTTCACTTCCTGATAGGACAGGCAAGTTGTTGCATACTGTACATTGTAGCTTTTTAATTCAACTTTAGTCTGCTATATTTTTGTTTACTTGTATAGTCTGGTCAGCTGTTTTTTGGGCTATTTAGCTGCACAAAAGATTTTTAAAATCCCTGTTGTATAGAGTCCTATATTACCTGTACTCTGGCTTCAGTCAGGTCGGTCCTCAGTGCCAGCTGCTCCCGGGCGTACACGTCAGGATAGTGCGTCTTTTGGAAAACCTTCTCCAGCTCCTCCAGCTGGTAGCTGGTGAAGGTTGTGCGATTGCGTCTCTTCTTGCCCTTGTTGCTTTCGCCGCCGTCACCCTTGTCCAGAGGGCTCGACAGGTCTGTGCCTGGTGGTCTATCAGAGGCCGCCTTTACGCCCTGATCCTTCACAGACAGGTAGCTGGAGTCCATTCCAGGTGGGTCAGAGTCCGGAGCCAAGTCAGAGTCTGTCAGACCGGAACTGTCTTTACCTGCAGAAGCAAGAAGCAGAAGAAAACTGTTTAAAAAAAAATGTGTTGGATCCAGATTGAAAGGTTGGAATCATAAGCAATCTAATTTGGTAACCCGCCCTCATACTAAAGAGATAAACCTAAAAAATATATTATGTCCTGCAAAAAAGGCAGCTTCACTATAGAATAGAGACACACAATCCATCACTTTCACTATGCAGGACATAAAATATACCTCGATGAATATGGAATGTATTATGTTACACAACTATTCCTCATGATTTTGGCTGCAGGTTGTAGACTGAGCTAAGTCATGTGTGGATCCTTCACAGGAGTAAGATAATAAAGCACATGGATAAAGCTGTTAGACTTCAAAGATTTGGTTGCCTTCTTCCGAATATTCAAAACCGGCATTCTGCAACACTTAAAACCTCTGGGATTTTAAACACGACCCGCATGTCAACACAGATATACAACAACCCTTCATTCATGAAATGTCCATGAATACAGTAAGGGACTGAAATATCTACTGAAAGAGGATTATTTAACTTTCAGTAACTGAATATGAAAGTCTTCGGGAAGGAAGACAGATTTCAAACATTTTTCAAGCCTCATTTCTTCTCGGCTCTAATATCCAGTCGAACGCCTCTGACAGTAAATCTGTAACTCGTAGATCCAGTATGGTAATTTATCGGGTCTGATAGGGTGGAACAAAGGAATTTCTTGCTCGTTGTGAAGAAAAGTTGTGAAATCTGTTGGCGCTTGGTTCTGAAAATGTGTGAATTTGTTTGTCTATCAGCCTGTGTAATGGATGGCCCAGATCACTGGCTGCTCTCATGATCCAGTTGTAATTCGTAAATCATAATGTGATGTGCTGGGAAACACACATCCAAGCCATAATTGAGACTGACGGCAGAAAGTTCCCACTTTTTAACTGCGTAACCTCCCTCCCTTCACACTATTTATCAGTTCTTATTGTGGTTGAGTTGATACTGTGGCTGCAAAAGTCACCTGGCAGCAAGACTGTCGCAATTAATTTTCTGGGGGAGTCATTTCTAGACAGACATCTTTTACTCTTTCTTTCACTCACTCACTCACACACACACACACACACTGAGGGAGCGTGTCTCTGCCAGTGTTCATGTAAGCTGGCAGCTCTGTTGGTCCTGCTGCTACCCTTCACTGAGCTGTCCAGTTTATTTACACATCTTTTGGAAGAAATACACATCCACATTGTCGAGGATGTAATGACTTGAAACAATTGGTCTCAGGCTGCTTCCCAAGACCGTTGAACTTTCTCTCTCTGGCTCAGTCTAGTGGTGACTCACAGCGCTGCACCCTCCTGCTCCTCAACACCATCTGAGGTGAAGTTATTTTCATCTGCTCATCCAACCATTTGTCAGGTTAGAACCTGGAGGTGTGTACATCTGAGCTCTGTGACAATTCTCAGTACTCAGTCAGCACAGACGATGTCACAAACACACTCGGTGACCCTCAGCTCACTGCCATGTTAGGTAGTGTTGCTGCAAGGTGAGGTGAATGGATAGCTTGTCATAAACTCACTTTCTGTCTGACAGACACATGCATAGAGTGTTGATTTCAAGTGTTTATGCCAATAGCACAAGTCTGAGCGATGAGGCGCAAGGATACAATCACAGCATTCCTTTATTTTAATCATAAATTGCTGATATGATTAGTCTACATTTTTTGTCAATCAATCTTTATTTGTATAGCGCCAATTCATAACAAGTGTTATCTGGAGACACTTTACAAAAAGTAGGTAGAAGACCTTACTTATTGCTATATTACTTGTGTAAATCAGAGTATTTCTAGTGATGAAAGATACAACAGAAAACTCAAAGTACTTTTCTCTGGTTTTTGGAGAAAAAAACAGAACTGCAGAACTTTAATTTAATTTAAACTGGTATTGGTATCTCACTTCTAATAACTTGATTTGTAATGGTAATAGTGCAACATTTTGAAGATGACATGTTATCTTCCTGCCAGTGGTCTGCATTCAATGTTGAAATATTGGTATTTTCTTCATCGTAAAATGCAAAAACTGCCTCTTGTAGATGTCAATAGTTTCTCCTCACAAAAACAGATGTCAGATAAACACATTTTGAACTAAACTACTTTTGTAGATTTATTGAGATGATGGGACAGGCTGGTGTTATTTTAAAACCAGTAACAATAAGATCCTTTACTGTTAGCCGTTACCAAAATAGAGATTGAATTTCCCCTTGTGGGGTCAATAAAGTATATCTTCTTAAAAATAGTCTTGAGGTTTGCTGTCCAGGAGTCCCATTGTGAAAAAAAGTTGCTGTACTGCTTTAATTGCATTTTTTCAATGCTGGAGAGTAAAACCTGTCTTGTGTTTTCAGTGTGCATTGTTTAGTACGGGATTGATGCATTTTAGGTCTCCCAGATTCAGCGAGGCCTGCGGCTTTTTTCAACTGGGGCTGAGGAGCCATGGTTTGGTGGCGGACTACTCTCTGTGGGTCTAACGCCTGCAACACTGCCTCGCTGTTCCTGACAAGCATGTACTTTTAGGTTTGATGGGAGTAAATACATTTAATCCCAGCATAAATACTCTCTGTATACTTCATCATAGTTCCCTGGCATGCACCCACAGTCCCCACCAGGCGAGGGCTGCTTGAAACCATGAGGCCTCTCACTGATCAAAGGCTGTTGTTTAGATCGAATGTCACTGATGTTTTTTTGGCAGGGGCGGGATATTGTGACAATCTCCTGCTTGTTGTCTGTACTGTCTCTGCTGTAGCTGCCCAAGGTGAACATCAGTGGGCCCTCCCGCAGGGCGCCATGTGTATGGACATAAGGAAGTCTTGCTGCTAACAATGCCTGTCAGGATTCAACCTCTGTGGGTAAACTGAAGCAAATTCTTTAACAGTTCTTCCATGAAACAAAAAATAATTTTAGCTTATAGCTGCACTTCCCTACAATAGTACTTGTACTGCTAAAATTCAAATATGTACCAACAAAATCCCATCTATAAGTCTTTTCTCTCTCTATTCTTCTTTTACTTGCCGGATAAATACGCCATTGCCAATATGTTTTGAGCTGCAACCACAGAATGTTCTATTTTCACTGCAGTGAATCCAGCAGTCAGCATCTGTTCCAGTTTCTGTGCACATTTTGGAGAAAAATCAGAGTCACAGTAAAAGTTTGCTACAGAAATGAATGCGCGAACAGAACAAGCAGAGTGCTCATTTATTCCGCACAGCAGATTTTATAAAAGTCTACATTTTCACACGCCATCTTTTAGACCATTTCTAATTACTTTTATGGCGTAGTGTGTCACTGTTGGCATTGACTTCAAAATGAAAATAAGAAGTGATATAAGACCTTCCACCGCGCCTCGTTTTTAATTTATTGGAGGCTATTCCCATGTGGAAATAAGCGCCAGAATGACGGTGGTGAAGGTCAGACTTTCAGCGCGGACAGCTACTAGTTCACAGTTGAGAACGAAGGGGCAACTTCAAAGTGTAATTTAACGGGCTGTAAAGCGACAGGGCACCTTCCCTGCATCTTTATTCACTGAGAGGACTGGGGTCAGCTCACTGTGTTAAGAGGAAACACAATAAATAACACTGCACACAGCGACTGAGGGAGATTAACAACATGTTGCTCAAACTGAAGCAGAAATATCCCAAAGAGAGGGAAACATAAACGGCAGAGATGGATTAGAAGAGGAGGAAAACATAACACCTTATCAGATTTATTGTTAAGAGCTGAGGGAAGGGGGGGAGAATAAATGTCCGCACACTTGCTCCAAGGCCCCAAAACGTTTTTATTTAATCAACGCGTTTTCACCTGCAGAAGACCTCTTCTCGAAACAGGGTGATTAATTAATAACTTTTTGTTGCATTAGAGCAAGTGTGCGCACATTTCTTCTCCTCTCTGCTGTTTTTATTCTGCCCTGTGCCTACGTGATGTGCCTATAACTAGTTGAAGGCTGAGTGAAAGTAAAATATGTTTTCAGGGTTTTAATGACTAACTTTTAACATGGACTGGCACGAAGATTTGAGTTTTTCTTGGCTGCAGGCTGACACACAGAAGACAGAATAATAAGATTCACATTATTATTCATATTCAAAAGTACTGCATGATGGGAAACAAATCACCCGTTGAAGATCTAGGTGAAAAAATAACTAATTATATTTACACGCACATAAGCCTATACTATCTACAGTAGTTAAACTCAATGTTTAATGTACTGTTGCTGATTATCTTTTTTTTTTTTAAACATCTTTCAAAAATAGTCCTTTACCACTCCACATCATGTTCATTTTCTGACAGCTGTAGTTCCCAGTGACTTAGTAAATTTACTTCAAAACACTTGATGATGGGGCGCCCGTAGCGTAGTGGTTTGTGCGGCGCCCCGAGTAAGGAGGCTGTGGTACTTCAGGCTGGCGGCCCGGGTTCAAATCTGACCTGTGTGTCCTTTCCCGCGTGTCATTCCCCACTCCCTCTCTCTCCCCCTGATTTCATACTATATCCACTGTCGTATCTGTACAATAGAGGCACAAAAAGCCCAGAAATGAATCCTAAAATAAAAAGAAACACTCTATTCTTTTCACCCTGTAAAAGGTGTAGATTAAACTGCTCAACACTAGCCAATACAGTGGTCTAAAGTAACTTCATCTTCTTAACCTGCTGCCACATTAACATTCTCCTTATCAAAGAATGCACCTTAATAAAAAATCGAATTATAATACTATTACAGTGACAGGGTTTATTTTACTTAAACTATAGTGTTTAGCTCTGGTACTTGCTTTGGTACTGTCAGTCCATTTCCTGGCAATAATGATCTACAATACTATTTAAAGTATATTATTAACCCTACAATACTATTGAACTTCCCTTTGGGTAAGATCTGCATTAACTGTGTCCTTGTTGTTGTTTTTTGTCAGTTAAGAGAACTTGAAACAAATTCTGAACACATTTGAGCAGATGTTCGAGTTTCTTTTTATTTTTTTAAAGATTTAGTTTGGATTTTT